GGTCTTCCAAGCTGGGGGAATCTCGAATCTGAGAGAGTACAATATGACCATGAGTCCCGTGGAACTCGGACCCGCGAATGATTGCGCTCGAGAGGGCCATTGGCAATTACGTGTATAAACGATAAACCCATCGTCTCGTGGGAGAGGAAGTTACATATGGGCTATAACCTCAAGAGTTCATTCGAAAAAGATAACTAGTCGTGAGCCTCAAGGGGCCTGGCGCTAAGACGACCTGATTGGCGGAAACCCGCCAATCGTAAAGTATAATAACTCTGACTCTGACTGTGACTGACCCTTCTATGAAAATACCTGGATTCAACCTTGAAGTAGGCCATGATTTTTTTATTGCTAGTGGGGTGGGACCAAGTTCCTTGTACTGCGGCCACTTCTGGGCTATTGTACCAGCCCCAGATGACAAGTGTGGGTGATTGTGGAGCAATTCGTGGAAAGAAGATTGGCAGGGGAAACCGAAGTACTCGGAGAAAACCTGCCCCAGCGCCACTTTGTCCACCACAAATCCCACTTGACCAGACACGGGATCGAACCCGGGCCGCCGCGGTGGGAAGCCAGCGACTAACCACTTGAGCTATGGCGCGGCCCTAGGCCATGATTACTTCCGCTTGTGCCTTTCCAGTTCACAGTACATACCCTTCCTCCCTACTCACTGGACAGAAAGTCACGGTTTAATTGTTAGAATTCCTTTCCCATTCGTGAGGTCATGCGTTTGAACCTCGCCCTAGAGGATGAAGTATTTACCTCCAAGGAAACACTGGAATTAAGACTTGTTGCTCAAATTCTACAATATAGGCAGATGGCTCAGCGAAAATGTTTCGCTTCAATTGTTCTCTCGGTTCGTTAATAACTTTCCCTTGAAGCCTGGCCAGCTAGTGCTGCCTGCTAAAAATACTCCACGGACGTTCGCATGGAAAGCAGCACTCACAGAATAAGATTCCCCTCCCTCTGAATGTTTCAAACAACACCCAGATTGTATTGCTCATTCAACAACAACGAATGCGTTATACGGCGTAGAATATTAAAAGAAGGAATGAATATGAAGGGTGACCTACAAAGATAAGAGGAGGAGCTGTCGTGACCTACTTAAATGTAGCGTCTCGGTTATTCTTGAAAAAATGAGACAAATTACAGCCAATTTAAGTCATTACAATCTGTTATTTGACCGAGATTTGAAACGTGGACTTCAAGAATACACAACAGATAGTCGATCACTACACCACGTCACTCATAATACTGTAGCGATGGAAATGTAAAGATTTCACTGCTACAACAAGCCCATCTTACCCAGTTCACCTTGTCAGCAATTTCACAATCTTCCATAGTACGTTTTCCTTTGCGCTCGTGGAATATATCGTAAGGCGGTGGGATCGACGCGTCACGCTAAGTTTGCTTCACGGCCGTTCCGCCTACAAAACTCATTGTACAGGTTATAATGTATCTGTATATACGTACCTAGCATATAGAAACTAAAGGCATAATCGAGTTATGCTACATTCTCTTTCCTTACAACATGAGTCCTTTGTGCACTTCAGCTTGCTTCGTCACCACAGTAGGCGACAAACACTGAATTATGTTACCTGTTATTGTTAACACTTGAATGCCGGCCTCTACGCACTGATCCTCACGTGGTACGGACCCGTGCAGCTGTTTGTTAAACTTCTCTCTCAGGAACAGTTTCGCGGGTATCATAATTTATTTACTTTATTCGCAAAGACAAAACAGTGCGCTTTCAGTCGTACGTATTTATAATAAGATCTATAAATTTAATGCCGTTTGCTGCTGTTATGTAAGTAATTTTTCTGAAAAAATATAGCTCGTACTCTCTTTGCTCTCCAGTGCAATGCACAGTATATTCTGTAAATCATCACAAAAGAAAGTCATTGCAGTAATAGTATGAACGGTTGAAATCTCTTAACAACTTGAGTTAAGAATTTGCAATATTTATGTTAAAGACAAGATGAGAAGCACCTCATATTTTAAAAATAAAGTTCATCTTCATGTGATGAACCCCGTTATCACAAACGTGGCCATGAAATCCCGGTCATAATGGCAGAACTATTACATTCAGTGTAAAGGAAATAGCTGCAGAAATGAGTTTAGGATAGTGAACTTGTAGTTTAAAATTAATGTGCCTACAGGGGCGAGTAACCTGCGTAGCTGAGTCCACTTCAGATCCATTAATCGGTCATGAATAGCCTCGAACTCAGTCTGGCCAACACAAAATTAGCAACGTCAGTCTTCATTCAGTGCCTACTGCTTCATGAAGAGCAGCTTGCCAGAGTAACGGCTGCCAAATTCGTGCCCGAACACCTGGCCCACTGCGTGTCAGTCACATTAACACTCGTCTCAGTAGCGGTTCCTGTTGTGTTCCAGGGTACACGGGCTTCATTAATGCATGATTCGTGAAAGTGTTTGCTCTTCTGGCAAATTCCAGGAGAGCGGGTTTATGTTTTCTCATTTTCCGCCACCCCCGGCTATGTTCGTTGTCAGTCTCGAGTGCCGTACACTCTACTCCCTGTATGCGCAATGTGCCTGTTGTGTCATCCCAGAGTATACGGCTGTCTATGCACAAAACCTGCTGCGCAAACTCTGAGTATACTCGTTGCATAGGTATAGAACCTGTTGCACCAACTCAAAGTGTGTTCGGTGCCTAGGTACAGAATATCCTGCGCCGTCCTGAGGAGCTGCAACGTATGTAGGCCTATTCGTTGCACAGATACAGTAGCTTCTGCACTATTTGCGAATACAATCTTTGTGTACGCATAGCACTTGCTGCACGGCCCCCGAGTCCATTCATTGTCGAGGCGCTCTACCTACCGGGTTATCCCGAATACGCCTGTTGCCTAGCCACAGTGCCTCCAGGGCCAACCTGGGGTATGTATTCTGTTGGATAAGTTTTATTCTTCGCAGCAGATATAAATACGCTCATATTCTGGGTCACAATAACGTTTGAATTCTTAGTGACGTGTGCAAAGTAAAGTTATTATGCCTTGCCGCCAAAATGCAAAGACTTTCTCCAAAGATAATTATGTTTCGCCTGAAGCGTTAAACTGATCCACAGGCTCTAGGGTTAGAGTAGTCGTAGTTTCTGCCGCTTGTCCCTACCGCTTCATCCGTGGTTAGTTCCCTTGCTTCGTGGCTTTGAACTCCATACATTTGTTCCACATCCTGTATCTTTGGAGCAGGTTTTTATATATATTATTCTTCCATCTATGGCCATATCTCCCAAGTGGCCTGTTTCCTTCGGGGTTTGTGACTAAAATTCCATAAGTATTTCTTAATGTATCATACATGCCCGACCCATCTCATCCTTCCTGACTGGGTCACACTGGGTGAAGCATAAAACTTATGAAGCTCCACATTATCCACTTTCCTCCAATCTCATGTTTTTTTTTATTTATAGTGGGGTGGGACTAAGTCCCTTGTACTGTGGCCACTTCTGGGCTATTGTACCAGCTCCAGATGATAGGTGAGGGTGATTGTGGAGCAATTGGTGGAATGAAGATTGGCAGGGAAAACCGAAGTACTCGGAGAAAACCTGCCCCAGCGCCACTTTGTCCACCACAAATCCCACTTGACCAGACCCAGGATCGAACCCGGGCCGCCGCGGTGGGAAGCTAGCGACTAACCGCTTGAACTATGGCGTGGCCTATCCAACCTCATGTTACCTCATTCCTTTTACATCCAAATATTTTTCTCAAAACCCTGTACTCAGACACCTTCAATGTTATCTATTTCTGTCAGAGTTAGGAACCAAATTTTACTCACACACACACATAAAAAACTGTTAGTCTTTATACTTTATACAGACCTATAAGACGGGAAAACAAAATATTTTGAACTGAATAGTACGAAGCATTCCCCGAAATTAATATGCTCTGAATTTCCATGTGAACGCAACTGTGGTTTGTTACTGTCCTTTCCGCATATTTAATGCTTTCACATTTGGAAGCATTTCTTGGCTCTCTTTATGAGACTGTCTTGTAATGTGATGACGAAATATCCTTCTTATATCCTTCTTCCTGCAATCACTTCTAGACCGGACTCTAGCGGTCAGAGTTCCTGGCTACAGGTTTGATTCCGACGATACCAGATTTTCTGAGAAACAGTGTGTCTGGAACGGGGTCCACTCAGCCTCGTGAGGACAACTGAGTTACTTGAATAGAAAAGTAGCGGCTCCGGTCTATAAAACCGAAATTAACGGCCGTGGGGATTCGTTGCGCTGACCAAGTGACACTTTCTATCCCATAAAGTTGGCACTAACTTCGCCCACAAGCGGCAGTTGTTCCGTCGGTCGGTATAGTTCTCTTGCGGAGTAAAGCCACGGAGTTTTTTACTTCTAGACCATGCTTCTCAGTAGCACGTGCACGTGTTTCCCTTCATGGTATTTATATTTCCGCTGAATAAACTAATATTATCAGCACAGACCAAAAGCTGATGTGCTCGGTTCAAACCCAGTTCCACATAATTTTTTCGGATCTTCCTAATGGTGCATTTTGAAGTAAGATATAGTTATCGAACATCTCTTTAATTCAGTCCATTTTAAGCAGCAAATTGGCTACTTCAGAGAAGTGTTATGCAACATGGTCTGCAGCTTTCAACATTTCAGACACAGATAGCAACTCTGGAGTGGCTGTGTGTTCTGTTGTCGCCGTGTCCTGATTCACTTTAACGGCTGGTTGCATCAAGCCCTTACTGTTTGCTGCTACGTTCATATTGTCTGAGGCCGTCTTACGTACCACCGTCTCTATAACCCATCCACAATGCCAGCAGGATCTCTGCCCCCACTCTTCAATACGTCACTCGCCTCTTCCCTCCCGGAGCTTCTACGCTGTTATTACTCACTAACAGAACATCTTTCAGGTGTTTTGGGGTGTTGCGCAAGTGACGTAACGACCAGCGGTAAAGACGTACGTATAGCGTGGGTTATAGCCGTTACATCCAGGACACTTCTTGCTTAAAATAAGATGTTGCCCTGTACTCACCGAAGCTGTCGTTGTTTGCATCGCTGTTGGGTAGATTCGCCTCTTGCCCAGTGACGAGGCGGAAACCGTACGGGATGCCGGTACCCCACTGCCAGGCGCACGAAGCCTCGAAGTCACAGCTTGTAGCAGATGTGTCAGGATTAGAACTGGATGGCTGCAGCACGAACACAACTAGCGCCAGGACCAGCAACATTTTCCGGAAACACCGTCGACGTCCTTACAAAAACGAACACAGCTTCAGTTAGACAAGTAATCATGACGCCAACACACCAATATTTCATGTTCATTCAAATCACTAGGCTACATTTTTCGATGGTTATTACATCCACCTCAGTTTAAATATCCCTTAGAAAATTGTGAGAACTACAATGAATGAACCTACATTGTCATATATTTAAATAGTTTTCACACATAGTTGTAAATGTGTATGTTCTATAAGAATTATACATGTTTCAGCTGTTTATAATCCACACATTATGCACTTACCGTCATAATGACAGCCACAATTAAATTTGTATACGATACGGAGCCTGAAGAAGATGCAATTCTCACTGAAATGTGTAGGTCTATCCTAGTGATTTGAATGGAAATAAAACATTGTTTTATTTGAGTGAGCGCAAAAGAAAATAAAACTATGCATCTAACAGATCGTGGTCGCCCATAGGATTCTGAGACGTCGAGGCTCCCACATTTTCTAGACAACTGGCTCAAAGATGTCGGTGAGTTTGTCAGACTTACGCGCCGGCCACTCTTTACACACCAGGATGATTCCTGGTACTCATTTCTGTTAGAAGCTGAGTCGACCCCAGGATTATTTTGTAGCTGTGGAGGATTATGTCAAATAAAAAATCCAATGATCTCATCGGGAATGGAACCCGCGACCTTCCGGCTTGTAGCATAGTGCCTCAACCAACTAAGCTACCGCGTGCCACCAATTTAGTGAGAGTAATATGCACAAAATCGATGGCTCAGTGTAGGACTAAACACAGCTTCACTCTAACGCCCCTAAGTCAATAAATACACCAATCACCGCTTGGTGGCTCCCTGCAAATACAAGCGACGTTCCTAAAGATAGCAGAGCCTCGAGATACAATAAACAGAACGTCAGCACAGAAACAAGAACAACTTCTGTCTGCTCTCTTTAACAGTAAAGAAACGTAAATCAACATCCACGGTAAATTAAAAATTGTTCCTCAGCAGTCACGAGAAAGTCGGGAAACGTTTCGACAGCTGCAGCTACAATTCTTGAGAGCTCGGAGATCCTCATTAGGGGGATCGTGGCCCACAGTTTGAGAAGCCATGCCTTATTGTTATGTACATGACGTCCTTAACCCTTTAAAGCACAGTCGTTACTACACGTACCACCTGATTTCGTATTAGGAGACTAATTTTTACTATTATTATGTTTTTGGACATTATCCATAATCCTGATTTTTATTTTAAAACTCGCATTTCGGAGATAGGGACTAGCCCTGTCAACTGAGCCCACCTGGATACGGTTTTATCTGAAGACGGAGACAGAATCCAGTCTCAGAAACGATGGTTTGAAAATAAAAACAGGACAATGGATAATGTTCATATTGACAATAACTGTTATAATATGCCATTGTCACAAGCTTTTAGATCTTATTCTAAACTTTATCAACGAAGTGCAGATGTGTCTCTTTATTTCCAGTGATTCCCCAGAACACACAGAGACTATTCCTCTACACAGTTTCAAACAACTGTCCTTAAAATTGAGAATTACTGTGTTTCCTGTGAGGCGGGAACAGAAGTTTGGCTATTATTTAGAATAAATTCGTGCTTCAAAGGGTTAAAAATATCCTGAGCCAGAGCAGTTTGACCGGTACCGAGACAACGGACGCAACTGGCAGAGGGGAAAGGAAATGTGATTACTGATTAGTTCATCTTACCTCACATGCTTCGAGCCGCTACCAAAGTACGCTACATGGAAGTGAAAGTGTCATTTCGTAATTTCGTAAATTGCGAAAAGTAGTAAAGTTTGCAAAATTGTGGACTTTTCTGTTATTGGTGAAGCATGTGACTGAGCAAGATGGCGAACTTATGAAAGAACTTATATCGAACAATGAAAACAAAGAGCTTTATCTGAAAGTAAATTTCTGGTAAACATAAAAAAGTTCAAATTCATGAGCTAGTACAAGTTTTCATGAACTGCCTGCAGTGACCTTCGATAATCCATAATTATGGTCAGAAATGTCAGATGTATTAAAGTGTCATCCAGCTGAATATGTGCCAGTTCAGAACACATCTTCCACCTATTAGCCAGTGTTCTTGAAGATAGACGTAAATTCCCTGCGGACTGAACTAACTCTGAATATGTGAAGAGGTAGTGCCTATTACTCTATTACAAAACAAACATAAACAAAAAGCTTCATGGGTTTAGTCCGCAAGTGAACTATACCGACCGAGCAAACGCCGCTTATCGGCGAATTTAGTGCCACCTTTAGAGGATAGAGGGTGTCGCATGATCAGCGCAACGAATTCCCATGGCCGTTAATCTCGGTTTTCTAGACCGGAACCCGGAGCAGCTACTTCTCCATTCAAGTAGCTACTCAATTATCCTCACGAGGCTGAGTGGACCCCGTTCCAGACCCACTACTTCTCAGAAAATCTGATAGAGCCGGGAATAGAACCCGGGACCTCTGGGTCTGTAGTCAGTAACTCTGACCACTACACCACAGAGGCGGTCTACTGTGTTACACAAGGAATCAGTGTTTTCAGTGTATGCCTTGCGGCAGGCAGAAGAGTAGATCTTGCGGCCTGATCCAGGTTTTAGCCACCAGAAGTATTTGTCTACAAATATAATCTTCGGCAGCTTTCCTCTCCAGTAATGGAAGACAGTTGTCTAGGGGGAGCAGCATTATCTAACGGGGGAAGCCAAAAAAGATTCATACAAATTCCGTTGAAGCTATAAAGCTCTTTATAACAACAATCCTAGAGTGTTCAGACCAGAAAAATAATTGTTCTGGAAGTATTTTTAATTTTTATTAAACTATGAATGTCTGGTATATTTGCTTACTTTCCTCAATTTCGATTGTTTGTCCAGAGATGCAGAGGCATAGTTTAACCCTACACCCAGACAACTCTGCAATTCCAGAATAAATTATCACGAAAACTCTTCAATTTATCGAAAGAAATATCTGATTTAGAAATATTTTGGACGAAGAATTGAGAAAGGGAGTTTGCATTGATGACATGTTAAGAAAATCAAGCATTTACAAAAATCGATCTTGTAGGAACAAAAATGAAGACAGCCCGGATTGAGAATAATAACGGGCGCGCTTTTGTCGGTTTTATTCTGTGAGAAATTTGCTTTCTCCCTGCTCAGTGGTTTGCTAACGAATTCGCTGGGAAACGACACTGTGGAAACTTCCTAACAAGTTCTATGTCTGTTATTGAATTTATGGTAGAATCCCAAGGGAACACACTGAAAATTGTAAGATATGTTGAGATTTATTTTACTCCTCATATTCCGAATAAGATTGCCACCCTTATAAGGAAAAAAACAGAATATAAATTCATCCCAAATACAGAAATCCAGGTATTAGAGCTATCTTCTATTTCTAGAATCAACCCTCGACAACTCCTGAAAATAACAACTATCTTCAATCATCTGATAGGCCTATGTGAAGAAAAGTGGAAAATGCGGGTTTGTATTTAAGCATCCTGTTGCATTCCTGTATTCAACCTCGTTTACATTACATTTTCCGTCAATAATTCAACTATTTATTTCGTCATTTCACATTTGCTTTTGCTATTAACACACGTTTCGTCCCCAAATGGCCATCCTCAGATGTTCCATTATGCCGAACTTGCTACACTGCATTGACTATTGTTCTTTCCACAAGCGCGTAACTGAACATAAAACTTAAAAAAAAAAACTCTGTGGCCTTTATTCCGCAAGCGAACTATACCGACCGAGCGACCGTCGCTTGTCGGCGAAGTTGGTGCCAACTTTTGCGGATAGAGAGTGTCGCCTGGTAAACGCAACGGATCCCCATGGCCGTTAATCTCGGTTTTCTGGACCGGAAGCCGGAGCCGCTACTTTTCCTTTCAAGTACGGGAATCGAAATCGGGACCCCTGGATCTGTAGCCATGAACTCTGATCACTAGACCACAGAGGCGGTCGCGTAACTGAATATTTCGTAATTAAAATGTTACAACTTCACTCAACTGTTGTGTGTTAAAATCTTACACGTTAAGTTCACTCCATTTAAAATCAATTAAAGATCGTTAACATTTTTAATCATGTAAAACTCCTAATTCCACCCCATAAGGGGCGTCGTCCACTTGTCTAAGCAATATACCGCTTTCGGTTGTTTACATTGAAGGGGCTCACCCTTTCCATTTGCAAGCCCGTTGTTATGTTTTGTCTGAAAATTTTGACCCTTGCTTGTCCGTTGTTCCCACAAGCCACATGTGGTGTCCTCTTCGCGTGTGTAGATGTGCAGTGTAGCAGATCTGGCATAACGGGACACCTGAAGATGGCCTTTTGGGGCCGAAACATGTTGTGTTAATAGCGAAAGCAAATGTGAATGAAAAATAATTAATTACATTATTGACGGAAAATTGTGTGTAACAAAGGTTGGAGACAGAATTTTCGATCTCACAAACACTAAGTATAAAACGAGCGGTGAACTCACTGAAGAAATCGATCAGAAAATCTAGTCAGACAGAGGTCGGCTTTGTAATATTTGAGGTATTGTGGAATAGGTCGAATATGCCATAAAATACAATGTAACCTAGTGGTTGACAGCCTCTGTAGTCTAGTGATCAGAGTTCCTGACTACAGATCCAGAGGTCCGGGTTCGATTCCCGGCGCTACCAGATTTTCTGAGAAGTAGTGGCTCTTGAACGGGGTCCAATCAGCCTCGTGAGGATAAGTGAGGATCTATTTCAAGGAAATAGCGGCTCCGGTCTAGCAAACCGAAATAACGGCTGTGGGGATTCGTTGCACTGACCACGCAACACCCTCTGTCCCCTAAAGTTGTCACTAACTCTCCGACAAGCGGCAGTCACTCGGTCGGTATAGTTCGCTTGCGGACGAAAACAACCGATTTTTTTAGTCTAGTGGTTTGCATGGAAACCAAATACTGCCGTGTTAACGACATGAGCTCGTATCTACCTGAAATTACGACATACGACACCATGTCACAGTATAGGATCAAATGCAAAGGCGTCCAATTATCAATCGA